AAAAAAAAAAAAAAAAAAAGCTTTCGGCTGAATGCAATGGCTCACGCCTGTCATCCCAGCATTTTGGGAGGCCAAGGTGGGCGGATCATATGAAGTCAGGAGCGTGAAACCAACCTGGTTAACATGGTGAAACCCCATCTCTACTAAAAGTACAAAAATTAGTCAGGTGTGGTGGCAGATGCCTATAGTACCAGCTACCCAGGAGGCTGAGGCAGGAAAATCGCCTGAACCCGGGAAGCGGAGGTTGCGGTGAGCCGAGGTCACACCACTGCACTCCAGCCTGGGATACAGAGTGAGACTCCATCTCAAAAAAAAAAAGAAAAAAATTTTGAGGCTCTTTTTCCCAAGCCTGCTTCAGATGCTAAATTGTTTAAACAGAGTTTATATTTAGAAATACTGCAGCAGTGCTGCTTTGGAAATAACAGAAGTTTGCTTTGGTTTTAAAAAGTTCAGACTCATAGGAAAAAGGCACTGGAAGAAACTGGATAAATTGGATGTATCTGGGTCTCTTTTCCTTCTAGGGAAATAGGCAATGGTGGTGGCATCACAGAAAACATACTTATTCAACAGTGACTTTTTCTAGCCAAAAAAAGTGAGGGGCAAGAATTCCCTTGCAAATCATTCTGGTGCCACTGATGTGAGTTTACCTGCAGAACAGACTTCACAGCAAGGGACCAGCCCCTTCACCCTACAGGCCATCCTTCATTCTGCTCTGGTAAGGCACCCACCCAAAGCATGGCCAGACTAGGGTTCAGTCAAATCTATAACGAACGCATTCTGGGTGGATTTACATTCTGGAGATTCACTGCACTTGAGAGAGGAAAGTGAAGCAGTGACCTCAACACCCAAGGAAAGAGACTGCTTCCAGCTCCCTCCAGCCACGCATTCCCCCACCCCTACCCCACGCGCAAACACACACACACACGCGCACGCGCGCACGCGCGCGTGGCAGGTATGCTGCCATGCATCCGGGTCCCCATGGCAATGGCTGCAGAGTGTGGCAGGCAGGGCCCTTCATCTGCAGGTCCTTGCCCCCAGCTTGGGGTGGCAGGAGCAGACATGGCAATCTCCTGGCTCACAAAACAAGAGCCCACCAAAGAGCTCACTGAGACATTGGTTACCACCTACAGAAGTTTGACCTGCAGACCCTGACCTGATGATGGATGAATGAATGAATGAATGAATGAATGAATGAATGAATGCACTCTCACACCATGACAGGGATATAAGTGGGCTAGGGATGCTGCTTTCAGAGGGCAAAAGAAAGCCAATTGACTCAGACCCTCTGTCCATCCACACTTATTCATAACACAGGTTTTAAATTAACACACTTGTGCACAATTAACATGGTTAAAAGAGTGCTTATACAAATAAAAGCTTTAGGTTCCGGGCCCAGAGTAAACACCATCAGCAGGAAATTCCCCTTTAATCTCCCACTGAAAGGGTCACCCAGCACAAAGTGTACATGAGTAAACAGTTAAAGCAGAGACAAAGAGGGGTAAACAGACTTAAACCGGGAAAGCCATGGACCAGCGGGCCACCTTTGGCCTGCCCCAATAAAGCCTTTCGGCCTGCCAAAAGGTTTGAGACTAATCTATAACTTTTCCCAATATACCTTTAATATTTTGCCAGCCACCCTGAATAAATATCAACACTCACACCAGGCCAGGGTGGAGCCAGGCAAGTGCTCAGGAGACAGTGGCACCTCTGCCAGGCCCCAGTGTGCTGCTCTCTGAGGTGGTTCCGTCTCCACAGACACCTCTCCAAGCGTCAAGACACCACCAGCAGCTCCATCACACCTGGCAGCCACCAAGTGCCTCTTTCTACAAACCAGTGAAAGCCCTGAGCTCTAGTGGGCGACCTACATGGGCTCCATCGAATGACAGTTGGGGGAGAGGGAAAGATGGGTTCCCCAGAGCCTCCAGGTGCCCAGGCCCTTCACAGGCCTGTGCTTCAAAGATGGTAGCACTCAGCCACCCCATCCCCACCCCCAAGAGATGACATCGAGTTGCACCCACTCCTAGCCCAGGTCTAAGAGCCCTAGGAGGGGTCTAGCAACCTACATCCCAGGCACACATGGGAGCCCACCTGGAGCCAGGGCACAAAGAGGTGGGGGGACCACGGCCACACTGCTCTGGCAAACAACAGAGGCCACAAATTCAGGGGTCAGTTAACATTACTGGACCAAGCACCCAGCTTGTTTTTCTAAAGGTGGGGGTAGTTCTCAAGAAGATCAGTTTAGACAGTACATACCGCTGCATGCTCTCCACTCGACTGCACTGTTGCATCCTGTGACCACGCTACACTTGAACTGCCCGTCCGCTTTAGACTGCCGTCTGGCCTCGCCCCGCTGTCAGATGCCGTCTGTGAGAAGCACCCCTCACTGCTGACACAATGAAGCCACGCCCCATGTGAGATGGGCCACGTGGGCGCAGGAGTGAGGCTGGCGGAGTGCACACCAGCCTCCCCTGCCGGTCTGCCCCTGCCCAGGTATCCAGTGCCACCAGCAAGTGAGGCGCCCTGGCCGCTGTGCCGCAAAGCAAGCCTGTCACTTGGGCCCAATCTCCTCACCTGTCACGTGGGCTGGGCTTGCTGTGAGGCCTGGGAAACATGAAAGCATAGCCCTTCAAAAGATGTGGCAGCTGCCTCCCGTCTCAGCCACGCACTGGCTGTGCCTCATGGGGCAGGTCGTGTGACCTCTCTGAGCCTGTCCCTTGCCTGTAAAATGTAGATAACCCAGCGAGTAGGGCTGTGAGGGAATTAGAGGAGTTCGTACATGCAACTTAGACCAGTGGCTGGCATAAAATACTATAAAGTGTTGGCCATCAGCATCCCCGTCACCGTCATGGCTCGTACCCTTCACACCCATTGGTTTAGTCATGGGTGTGTGAGGCAATTCTAGCCAACAAGACATCAGGTCAGCTGAAGTCAGGGCCTCCAAAAGGGCTCCCATTATCTTAAAAAGACACACAGGGCTGCTTAAAGCCAGGAGTTCAAAACCAGCCTAGGCAACAAGCGAGACTCAGTCTCTACACAAAATTTTACAAACTAGCTGGGTGTGTTGTCATGCACCTGTAGTCAGCTACTAGGGAAGCTGAGGTGGAAGGATCACTTGAGCCCAGGATTTGGAGACTGCAGTGAGCTATGACTATGCCATGGGACTCCAGCCTGGGAGACAGACAGAGTAAGACCTCATCTTAAAAAAAAAAACAAAACACACAACACATAAAAGAGGCAGCCATCTGTCCCCATACAACTTACACTGGTGTGATGTCTACAGCTGTGGTGACCATCTTGCAACCATGAGGCCTGAGGTCCTTAATGGCCAGAGAAGAGACTACACACCAGGATTAAAAAAAAAAAAAGCAGGGGGATTAAAAAAAGAAATGGCTGATTCCACGTTTGATGCAGAAAAATTCTAAGTTGAAATGAGACATCTTATTGTGCCAAAAGCATCAGGATTAAAAAAAAAAAAAAGCAGGGGGATTTGTCAGCATGGAAGGAGCAGGGAAGAGCTGCTGGGAAGGCAGCCAACACCCGCAGAGCGCGTGCAGCCCCGACCAGCCTGACGCTGCCTCCGTGAACCCAGCCCCCATCCCTCACTCCAGGAAACTGGAGGAGACAACTCAAGTGACCTTGATCTTAGGCAATGCCTTTGGAATAAAAGTACCAAGACTAAACGGAGAAGTAGGAGAGCTTCAGGTTTGCAGTTTTACAGAAAAGATCTAAGGTTAAAATATTTGTTAAAATGGACCTCAGTCTCCCGGGCCCTGAGGCCGTGTGATCACACCTGAGAACCTCAACACTGCCCAGTACCCTCTCTCTCGCTGCTGAATTTTTAGTCCAACAGATCACAGAACCCACACCCTAAAAAATACAATGGCATTCTGTTTTGCTTTTTAGCCACCAACAACTCAACTTATTTTCAGAGCAGCTGAAAAACAATTCTGCTACAGTTCGGAAAAATCCTGGCAACCAACACTTTGTCAAAGCACAGGAATGACGACGGACTGGCCATGGAAGATCAAAAACAGGCTCGTTTTATTTATACACAGAACAACTTATGTACAGCACTCAGGCATGGACTATGTACATAACAATACAAGAGGCATTTGTTTCCACGGTGGTCACTATATAAATTAAGATTATAAATACGAGGGGGAGTAAGCCCCACCTGAGGGCACAGAACCTTTTCTCCAAGATGCTTCAGGGATCCTTCCTGCCTTCCTCTGCACAGCAGACCGTGAGGCCTGTCTGGCAATGGCAAAAGGGGACCTGGGCCGGGGCAGCGGAGCAGCCTCCCGGACAGCAAGGACACCCCAGTGTGGGACGCCAGCCCAGCAGCAAAGGGCCGTTCCCTGAACATTCCCGTTCATTCCTTTCTCACTTCTAACTTGTTAGAATTAGAAAAATGGTTTTTATGTAAACAGTGTTGTTTTAATCACTGACAACATATTAAACACTTTTAACCCAAACCCAACTCCTTGCCAGGAGTAGGACACTGAGGACGTGGGGTGACCCTGATGTCCCTGAAGCCACAGTCGGCTGCTTCTCCTCATGTCCCCTCCTCACCCGAGTTCCGGCTTGTTCTGGGACCCCAAGAGCCCCAGGGTGCCGACACCAGGCCAGCAGGGCCAATGGTAACACAGGGACTGCGGGCCAGGTTGCCATCATCCCCTGGGCCAACCCGTTCCACCTGGGAAACCAAGCGACTGCCATGGCCAGCTTTACCTCCATCCACAACGTCCTGTGCAGAAACAATCACAGGTGCAAAAGGTGACACACAACCACCTTCCACCCACATGAGCAGCTAAGTCCACCGACAGCGTGGGAAAGTTTCATCCCAAAATCCCAACACTACGCACGCAGCGACAGGACGCTGCGCTGGGGGAACCCAAGGCCCGGCTCAGCCTGCATGCTCCAGAGGCCTCAGCCCAGAAGGACCACAGAGGGGAGCACCCCAAGGCACGCGGAGGGGCCCACCCGGGGGCACTGTAGAGGGGACAGAGGGCTGTGAGAGGTGGGCCAGGCGCTGGTCACTGCCACCTGTTCAGGGCCGGGGCTGCCGCAAACCAGCCCCATCCAAGCCACCCCTGCAGGTGCAGCCCTGCCTCCGCACAGCAGACGGAGCGACGCTGACTAAGGGGCTGGGATGGCGCCGGCAGACACTCCAACACTGCCCTCTTTGGGGCATGGAGCCACAGCCAGGCAGCCAGGCCAGAGCTATTTCCTCCTCACACCAGGGTTGGGGTTCCAGAAACCTCTTTCCAGACATCTACGAGCCCCTGTGAACGATGACTATCAAGGGGGAAAGGGACAGAGTCATGCGCAGGAGGACCAGGGGCGTCCTCCGCCTGGGGACTGTCCCTGCAGTCTCCCCAGGGGAGCTCCCTGCCCTCTGGCACCGTCATCTGCTGGTTCAGAGGCAGGGCAGGAGCAGCGTGGACCATCAAGTCAAAAGTCCCGGCCAGCACTTCCAGCGACACCAGGCCCAGCAGCAGAAGACAAGAAGCCACTGCAGGGGCAGAGACACTCAGGACAGGGTGAAGAGCTCAAACCACCCCTGCCCACCAGGGCCACACTCCCTGGGAACCACAGAACGGGCAGAAAGAGTTTCCCAGAGCCAGGAAGCGTTTTCCACACAAAAACACTGAACTCATGTGGACACACATCCTCTGCGGGGACGCAGCTGGCGATCGGTCTCACTCATGGCCCCAAGCTGGACTCGAGGCCTACAATGTCCAGAGACAGAAGGGGAGGCGTCCCCAGCCCACAGCTCAGAGGCAGTGGGGGAGGGGCGGAGGGAGGTGCGCAGGCTCTGTGGACCCAGGGAGGGACTCCCGGCCTGAGAAACTGCTCCCACTGCCTTGGCTCACGCAGGAGGGGTTTCTTTTCCCATCATGTCAAATTACATCAACAGGCCTGGAAACATCCAGGCTACTTTCAAACCAGGAGAGAGCACGACTTTTGTTCAACAACAAAAGCTGCATCAACAAACAGGGCCATGCAGGCTGCTGTGAAGCCACAGGGCGGCTGGACCCCAGCCACGTTTCTGAGAGCCCCAGGGCCAGGAGGCGGAGCCACACAGTGTGGCCTGGAAGGACACACGGAGGGGAGCCCCCGGGACAACCTGAGCATGAGGCCAGGCAAGCGGTGCCCAAGAGGCCAGACGCTGCCGGATTCCCTGGCCCGCAACACAGGTGGGCGAGGGCTGAGTGGCCGTGACACATGTCCCCCAGGTGACTCTGAGCTGGAGAAGGTGTTATTTCAAAGGTAGCTGTGTTGTTATGTTCGAGACCCCAGAGCTCTGGTGGACGGTGTCACGGAGGCTTTCTGTAGCTGACAGAGTGAAGTAGCACCATGAGAAGGGGGCGGGCTGCAGCGTCCGCCCAGGGCCTCAGTGGTAGGAGGCGCGGAGGCCGCAGGCTGAGAGGGTGGAGGCTAGGCCTCGGCGGCAGGAATGTGGAGGCCGCAGGCTGAGAGGGTGGAGGCTAGGCCTCGGCGGCGGGAATGTGGAGGCCGCAGGCTGAGAGGGTGGAGGCTAGGCCTCGGCGGCGGGGGCGCTGCGGCTCAACTCCTTGATGCCACACAGGATCCTCTTCATGTGGCCCACCTTGGTCACGCCCAGGTCCTGCAACAGAGAGGACATCCCCGTGGATGCGGGAAGACAGACAGGGCCAGAGGCTCCACAGCAAGCCTGCTGCCAACGGCCCTTCCCACTTGGCTTGTGAACACAAATGAGGGTGAAAATCACAAAGACCATGAAACAAGACGGGAACAGCTTGGGAACAGCTTAAAAACAGCAACTGTACAGATGCCTGGCCGCTGTTCCTGCATTCTAGTCCCTTCCATCAGCAAAGACAAACCCAAGACAAAGACAAAACACAGGCCCGAAAGCAAGGGAGTGAGTGACCTCACAAGAGCCACCGTCCAAGACACCCAGTGGCCTTTTGCCCTCTTGGGACTTGGCCAGTAACTCAACACCCAGAGGCGTCCCCACGAAGCCAACCTGGGCAAGGGCGTGGGCCCATGAGACGGGGCATGAAGGCTGGCACAGACCGAGGCCTGGCATCTAACCGCCCCCTCCCAATGCTCCCTGCAGACAAGCGGCAACACCTGCCCAGGAGCAGTGTGGGGACAGTCACGTGTGACTGTGCTTCCAGGGCTGTGTCCCCTCATAGGATTTTTATCACGAAGACAGTCTGTGTCTAATTAGGCTAAGAGAACCAAGGCTCTGCCCCCACTACGTCTGCTCCTGGCTTCCTCTGGCTATGGCGGGTGGAGCCATCACTGCCTAGGGTGAGGGCCACAGCCATCCCAACCTGAGGTATACACGAAGGCCTGAGAATCGTGACGCTGAGATGTGGCCAGCTCGGGAGAGAGGACGGAACAGAAGGGACCATGTGCAAGGTCAAGTGCAGGTTCCAGGGAGATGCCTGTGAAGTACCTTGAGGTCCCTCCGCTCCAGGTGCAGGAGCTCAGAGCCCCGGATGTCGTGCCGCATGAAGATGTCCTTATACTCACAGAGACTGAGGTGCTCCAGCCAGGCAGCAACCTCCTCTGTCCCCCAGAGATGAACTGTCGGAGACGGAAAAGCATGAGTGCAGTGAGTGCCCAGAGCCCAGTGCGAGGCAGGCAGTGGCCGGCACCCAGCACCAGAGACAGCCCAGCAGCCAGTGCCTGAGGTATCCCAACAGCCGGCCCCCGAGATAGCCCAACAGCCAGCCCCTGAGATAGCCCAATAGCCAGCCCCCGAAATAGCCCAGCAGCCCGTGCCTGAGATATCCCAACAGCCGGCCCCCGAGATAACCCAGCAGCCCGTGCCTGAGATATCCCAACAGCCGGCCCCCGAGATAGCCCAGCAGCCGGTGCCTGAGATATCCCAACGGCCGGCCCCCGAGATAGCCCAGCAGCCGGTGCCTGAGATATCCCAACGGCCGGCCCCCGAGATAGCCCAGCAGCCCATGCCTGAGATATCCCAACGGCCGGCCCCCAAGATAGCCCAGCAGCCGGTGCCTGAGATATCCCAACGGCCAGCCCCCGAGATAGCCCAGCAGCCCGTGCCTGAGATATCCCAACAGCCGGCCCCCGAGATAGCCCAGCAGCCTGTGCCTGAGATATCCCAACAGCCGGCCCCCGAGATAGCCCAGCAGCCCGTGCCTGAGATATCCCAACAGCCGGCACCTGAGCCATCTCTGGCAGCCGGCACCCGTCACCCAGCCAACAGCACCACCCACCAGCAATGCAGAAAGAGGCAGAGAGCCACCCACTCGAGGGGCGACAGCTGCAGCAGAGCTGGCATCTGTTCCTGCCAGGTGGGTCGCCAGCCTCTGGCCATTTCCCTGTGTCCCAGGAGGGACTGAACACCACCAAATACAAGGGAAATGTCTTCATGACTGTGGCCAAAGCCAGCTTTTCCACTAGATTCTATAAGTGTTACATTTCACTTGTGGACCATAGCAGGAAGAGAGATAAGCAGAGATTTCAATCTCACATAGAAGGGCCACCATCATGAACAGAAACCCAATTTCTGGACAACATGCAAAGAAGAAAAATCAATAGGAGCTGCCCTGACTGGTGGCAAACACCAGTCCCAATATCCAGGCTCGCAGGCCTCTCCGGCCCCTGACAGCGCTGGATATGGCCTCGGTACTCAGGGCTGATCCTTCAGAGATTTTAGCTCCAATTTACTGGCCCAAAGGAACAATGTCCTTTAGGACCACATTCGATTGATTTCATCACCCACAATCACTGGTGGCCTGGGTTTCCAGCATGGGAACCTTGACCAATGCATCGATGTATCAGGAACCAGCAGCCCGGAGGGAGCAGGCAGAGCACGCCCCAGCGTGGCCTGAGTCCAGAGCTTTGTGTCTCCAAGTTTGTCTCCTCCCCACCTCGAATTCCCCAAGTCAGGGGAGGCAAACAGCCAGAGAGCACGTCAGGGCTGGATGTGACAACGGTCAGAGGGAAAGCAGGTGGGGTGGAGGGCTGCAGCCACCAACAGACCACTGTGGCTGCGGGACCGGGGGTTACAGCACAGGGACCAGGAGGGAGGAGCCGCAAGGCCAAGGGAGAAAGCAGAGACCAGGAGAACAGGGCCGAGCCAGCAGGCGTGGATGGCCAGAAACACGCAGGAGAGAGGCAGGTACCCGGGGCTCCCAGGCTACTATGAGCTTCTTTGTTCTTGTTGTTTTTCTCCTTTTTAAACTTGGTCACGAGGCGGAATTTACCACTGCGACTGCGCTTGGCAAGATCCATCATCACGCTCTGTTGGGAAGAGTGAGAAATACTGAGAATCAGACTGCAACTAGCCACGGGCTCCTGCCCATCACCACCAGCAAGGCTGGGAGGCAGGGGGGCTGACACCGGGGGAGCTGGGAAACACCTCCGCTCCTCAGAGGACTTCTCTCCCTTATTTACTCTTGTATTTACTGATTTTAATGACTGTTTAAAAGTGTTTAGTTTAAAAGTGATCATAGCCTCTATTTTCATCATATTGTACTTCACTTGATTATGTACATTTCTCATGCGATTTCAAAACTTTTTGAAAATATCATAAATATCAGTATCTAAATGAAAACTATGAAAGTAACCTATTTAGCCAATCTTCTAGTGTTGTATTGCTGGGCTGTAATTATTAGTATTATGAGTATCTTTCTAAGGAAAGCTCTTCCCACACTTTGCATTCTTTTCTCCAGTACACTCCCCGAGGCAGAACAGGAGAGGAAGGGCGGGCAGCAGAGCCACGCAGGAGCTCAGCCTCTGCTCTCGACAGCCAGCAGCAGCAGGGTCTCTCGGGAGAGCACTCCCAGGGACGCACGGAGGTAACACTGGCTCGCTCTGTGATGCGCTCTTTGTAACAGACACCCCAAATAAAGCTTGAAAGTAAAACTATGAAAAAAATACAGCAAGCAAGTAGACTTGAAGATAAAAAGAATTACTAAAGATAAGAGAATCATATTATGATAAAACCTATGGGTACCCAGTCACATAGCTTCAAAATACATGAAGCAAAAATACAGATAACCACAAAGATAAACTGAGACATCTACAATTATGATATTAGAGTTAACTGGTAACTGAAATATCAAGGCGGCAAAAAAAAATCTCAGTAGAAACTTAATGATATAAACACAACTGCATACAAGGTACATTTACAAAAACCACCTAGTGGGCCGTAAGGCAAGTCTCACCTCAAATACATTTCAGGGAAATGATAACACAAAGACCATTGCTTGGAGCACAGTAAAATTAAGTTAGGAAAAATTAAAAACATATTACTGAATAACTAATTTAGATGCTTATTATTTGGCACACAGTTTCATGACTATGTGCCAGTCTATAACTGTCATTAAGTTTATAACTGTTATGTTTATGACTATATATAACAATTACTGTATTTTACCAATATAAAGTGATCCTCTTTGCTGTCTTTG